GTGTGTGTGTGTGTGTGTGTGTGTGTGTTTGGAGCGGTCTGGAGATGAGTGTATGTGTATGGTGCTGAGAGGGGAGAAGAGATGGCAATCTCCATTACAGTATTGTAGCCTCTTTCTGTATGCCAATCTATATATCATATGAAGAGAAAACAATGCCATAAATATGAGATAATAATGAGGGCCTGATTAAAAAATATAAATCTGAAAAAATGACTTTTAAAAATATTGAGATGTAAGGGTGAGAGGCTGCGTTTGCCAGGTAGTTTAACTTAGAAGAGATTCATCCAAATTCTTGGCAGTTTATCCAACGGTGTCATTTCATTTCAACATTGAGAGTACTCAGGGAAGCCAACACTCTGCCTTTCTCATGTCTGAACTACTGCTGCCAAGATCCTGCAGTTCTTCTGTCAGATGAGAAGAAGTGTGGCTTTTTGTGGAGCCACCTTTCACAATAACAGGACTTGTGTAAAGATCCCCCATTTTCTAGAGGCAGTGAACCTAACGAGAACTTGAAATTTATCCCACAGCTATGCCAATCAGTATTTCAGCTGTAGTAACTTAATTGGCAATCGTTTTTTATTTTCTTTTATTTTCCTTGTAAAAGGATTCTTGGAAATGGTGAAAGACACATTGTCATGACAAAGAAACTGATGATTATGTTAAAAACTGAGAATTCTGGAGGTGAAATCTCAGGAAAAAAACTCCTCAGTCAATATCAAATCCATACTCTTTTGCCTGAATTTGAAAGCTTGCAAATTTACTTAATATATCTCTGTCTCCTTTTTCCTTCCATTTCTTCCTACTGCCCATACTTATCCTGTGTCATGTCCCACAACTTTGTCTCTCACGAACACCATTCCAAGGAGGTCACACTCCTCCTCATTACCCTTTGGACAGTTGCCATTCTTTTCCAATTCTATTCAAGTTCTTCCTCATATCTAAAATGAGTTTTTGTAACCTAGTATGCATAACCTTAATGTGAATTGATGTTTTTTCTTAAAAATGAGATGCAAGATTTGAAAGTGAAAACTTGAATTGTTACACTTTAAAATACGTAACATTTTGAATACTGTCGACATCTTGGAAGGCCCTATCTTTGACCTCTTATTGAAATAGTTCAGATCCCATGCAATATTGCTTGTTTGAAAACCCGCAGTCATTGTTCAAGGGCTCTCATGTCAGAATAGAAATGTAATATTTAGCATCAAGACCAAAGGGAATAAAAGAACCAAACTATCACAAGTAGAGGACAGAGGCAGGATGGATTAAAATTTGAAAAGTTTGAGATGAGCAATTCAGTACTTAGATACCAGGCGTTGGAATAGTACCTCTTTTTCCTGATTTCTGGCATTGCAGGATGGAGAGAAGAGTCTTATTAAAGACTAAATAGAGATCAAAACCTAATTTTTTAAAGAAATATTTAAAGCAAAAGGATCTATTATGATATAATTTGCTATTACACGTGCTTGAAAAACTGAGGGAAGACTGTTTTCCTTGATGTAAACACAAATCAAAAAATATACATTCTGTTTAAACAGTAACTAAGCTTATACAGCTGGCCCTTTTTCCTCATACCAATTTTATGGAAAGTCTGAACTATAATTGTCAAGAGAAATGAATCATAATGTTGTGGTGAACTGGCCGGAAATACTTGGCAATACACAATTTCAGTTTCTCTGGGGTAAATAATGATGGCCACCAAGAACTTTGAAGTTTGAGAAGATTAGACACTTCTCCCGCAATTCTGCTTCAAGACAATAATAATAATGATGATAAAATGATCAGATTAAATTTTGCCACACATACAATTAGTAACTATAAATTTACTTGTAAATAAGTACAAAATAATTCATGAGCTTGTCCTATAAGTTTGAAGAAATTCTGAGTTCTCTGTCCTTGTAGGTGTCATAGAAAATGTTCTTCATGTTTGGCAAATATAAAGATTGCAGAGTCAAGGATGACAATACTTCCTGTCATCAAGCAACCATGACTATACAGCATTCACAGATGGATACAAAACCACTTAAAGATTTAACATAAGACATCATCTCTAAGTGTAAATAGGCTTCATGGGATTTTTTTACCTTATTCATAAAATGGTGGGGAAATATCCCTAAAATGTTTTAGCCAATCTGTATATCTCTAGTACTTTTAATTTCACTCATGAGAGCCCATATACAATATTCACTGAGTTACTTTACATGCCTTGTTTTTACTAATTGATACACATTTTTGTCATTCGATATACTAATTAGTATTAATAAATCATCAGTTATTGATTGACATATGAACAACAAAAGTGTCTATAGTAGCCCCTTCAGGAATATGGATTTTTTATCCCATCAGTCTGCTCCTGGTCTGTGCATTCCTGGTTAGATTCTAGGAACACCTGGCTGATAGCTCATCCTAACTAACATACCTTTAGTCACATTGTATTTTAAAGTAAATTGCAGACATTATAACAAATGGTGTAAACACATCACACATAGAATATCCTTTTGGTTACCAATTGTAAGCCATCATTTGGAGTTTTGAAATGAATGGCAGAACTTTTTAGTAATTTTTTTTTAATTTTACCTTATATTTTAATTTAAACATAATATTCTTTTTCTAGATATCCTCTGTGACATTAATATAACCTTTCTCCATTTTGCAAGTCTGTGTACAATTGAAATGTCCTCTACCTCCAGCACTTTTGCTAGTTTTGTTCATAGACAAGCCTATACTATACTTGCATTAGTCATCTCGTAGCTTAATAAAAAATTGGAAAATCATTCAGCTTGAATGTGTTCAGAAAAATTCCCTGTGTAATCTATCCTTCTCTACTCCCAATACATTTTTAGAGGTTAATGAAATAATGTACAAGAAATCTAGTGGAAACTATATGTCCTAAAACTTAAACAAATTTGGGAAGTAAAATATGTTTTGATGGACATTCAGTTAATATTTGATCAAGGAATAATTTATCCATGAGGGAAAAATATTTTTTAATCGTCATAATGGTAAAATATAAGAGCAAAGGCTATGTGCTTTGGGCAATCACTTAACCTCTCTGAAGCCTTGGTTTCCTCATAAATAAAAGGAAGATGGTAATAGTAAGTACTTTACAAAGTTATTTTAAGGATTAATAAGGTAATATATGTAAAACCCTTAGCAAAGTACTCAGCACATAAGTCCTGAAAAATAGTAGTCGTTATTAAGAAAAGAAAAATCAAGAGTTTCAAGAGCGTGGTCAACAATGTCCAATTGATCTCAGAGAGATCAAATATGGACTGTACCAAATGAAAACATGCAGCCTTTTTCTGCTAGAATGTGATATATGTGTACTGGGAAAACCACTCATTCTGCAAAATTGCACACTAAACATAAATGAGGCTTATGGGAAAAAACATTAAGGTTGGGCAGATCATTTAAGACATATACAGTTTTGTCATTGTTGTTTTTAGGTCTCTAGTTACAATCCTTGTAAAAATACTAATGCCATTAACTCTCCAGGAACGCTTGCACCCAGCATCATAGTCAGCTGACCTTTGCATCACACTTCCTCTCAAAGGGAGGAGATGTGAGTTATTGAATGCATTTGATTCCAATAGTTTCATCAAAATCAAAAATCTCATTTAAGATATAGGGAGAAATGTTTTCACAACTTCTTCATCTGTTATCACAACTTCAGCAGATCTTTTAACTTTTGAAAAGAGTATATGGAGCTCTTGACTACCTCACTCTATTAAACCAGCCCCTATTTTTGCTAAAGGAATCAACTTATACGTTGATTCTCACACCCTCTCTGAGACCTTTGTACACTGCTAAGGCTTTCTCTTCAATTGGAATGATAGCTTGCCACTGATCCCTTTTAAATGTTACCATACTAGGAAAAAATCACATGAACCAACAGGACATCCTAATGTTCAAATTATATTTATATCATTGCTTCATTTACCAATAGCAAAGGGCCCCTTTTCTTTTACAGTAGCATATATTATAGTGGAATTTACTGAATGTGAAGGAATAAATAAACTCCCCTAAAGCTTTTTGGAGCTAAGTTATTAATAAAGAATAAAGGAATATAAATCAAGCATGTTTCTATTGTTGCTTCTGTTTCTCATGTTTCGAACGCTTTGAGGCATAATTTAATGGTTTAGCCACATTAGATAGTTCTGTTACTATTTTTTTACATTATTCTTTTTTTTTTTTTGAGACACAGTCTTGCTTTTGTTGCCCGGGCTAGAGTGAGTGCCGTGGCGTCATCCTAGCTCACAGCAACCTCAAACTCCTGGGCTCAAGCGATCCTACCGCCTCAGCCTCCCGAGTAGCTGGGACTACAGGCATGCGCCACCATGCCCGGCTAATTTTTTCTATTAATTTCTTTCTATTTTTAGTAGAGACAGGGTCTCGCTCTTGCTCAGGCTGGTTTCGAACTCCTGAGCTCAAACAATCCGCCTGCCTCGGCCTCCCAGAGTGCTAGGATTACAGGCGTGAGCCACCGCGCCCAGCCTATTTTTTTTTTACATTATTCTTATACTTATTTCTCAGACTTAGCTTAAAAGTCTATGAAATTAACTCTGAGTCACTAACAAAAGTCCCCATTTCTGCTGATAATTATTGTTTCATATCAACTTTATTTTTATCATTCCTATAGCAGTTTTTTTTTCCCTAAACAGTATTTGGAGGTGGTTCAAGGCATCTATCCGGTTCTAGTAATGAGAGGTTAAACTGTGCTAATAATGCATTTAGGAAGGTGGTTGCCTGAGAATAGGCAAAGATCATTTTAATCAAATTATTCCACATGTACAATACATGTAATGTTTTATGTTAATACTAATGTATTATATACCATCTAACTGGCTCATTTCATCAAATCTGCATAAAGGTTTAAGAGAATAGTTTTGCTATGTTTTAATTGTCACCTTATGTCAATACTAAAGCAGCAAGTTGATATTTTACTAACAAATTATGTGCATAATTTTGTTGAGTCATATTCTTATGTCATTTTGTTTTAGCCACTGTGAGTAAAGATGACTCCATTATTTCAATTCCTGATGTCACTGATATTGCACCAAGTAGAAAGAGGAGGCAGCGAATGCAAAAAAATCTTGGGACAGAACCTAAAATGGCTCCTCAGGAGCATCAGCTTCAAGAAAAGGAAAAGTAAGTTATTTTATTCTTTGTCATAGATGACATTTTTAAAAATCTAATGCATAATCTTAAAAATTATATTTTTTTCTATATTTACTTAAAGTTATTTTTAAGAATAAAAATTATGATTTTGGAAATTGTAAAATGTTTGAATTAGTATATTTTCTGTGGTATTTGGTTAATTCCTATTCATATTTAAATCAGAGATGCTAAAAATATAAGCAAAAATATTTTTCTTGTAGTTTTTATGGATTAATTAAAAATGGCATGTAGTATGCTAAAAATATTAGAATCCAGCTTGTGTTCTGTTCACTAAAGTGTTTCAATCTAATTTACTACTTAAAAGAGACCCAGATAGCATTCAAATTAGCCACTTGATTTGGTTATGCTTGGTATTTTTTTAAGTAAAATATTTCTTCCTAGTCATCTGTTTATGTCTTTTAAGTTTTGGAATTACATATTTTATTTTACATTATTTTCACTGGTTTTTCACTCTTTGGTTCTGACTGCCTTCTATCAATCTACATTCCAATTTAGTTGTAATGAGTTGAGAAGTTGGAATACTTAACATTTCGTTATAGCAAAACAATGAGCATTTGTAAAGAATATTATTGGTTGAATCCAAAATGAATGTGCAGATCATCTGTATGGTTGGTTATGTGTATATATGCTCTGAGAGTTTATTTTTTCTTTACATTTTTTGTTAATTTTGTAAATACTTATTGAACAATGACCATATGACAGATGACGTTACAGTCCAGGGGTTTTCAAGGTACGGAATGGTAGGGGTAGGGGACCACAAGGTCTATCCTTCTTTAATTCCATACCTGTGTGAGGCCAGATTTTCTTCATATTCTTCAATTAAAATAACATGTCACAGCTGATTGAATGCAGAAGCTAATGAAAATCTGTTTTCAGTTAAACCAGTCAGCAAACAGATTTGCATAAGTATAAAACAATGCCCTTAAAAGATTTTTTTGTTGGAAAATATAGTGATGTTTCATAAAGAATATGTTATTCATGTTATCATATACTGGATGCATGTTATTTTTAAATGAATTAATGGATATTCTTAAATTTTCTCAATTTTAATTTCAACTATGGCAATAGTCCACATAAACCAAAATGTGGACTGAAAACTCTCAAGACCCACCAGAATTTTAAAAAGTATAAGGGGTCCTGAGAGCAAAAAGCTTTAGAATTCTATCATAGACAATGAGGATGCCAAGGCTTAGGCACAATTCATGGCCTCAGGAAACTGGTAGCCTAAGAGGAACATATTTTAGTTTCTAGCATAAAAATAACTATTACATAGTTAACAGTGGGATTATTTTGTCTGTTTATCATTGGGTTTTTATTCTCTCCACAAGTGGCCTGATCTACTTGGATTTAAAAATGCCATCTGTATACTACACTGGGTCCCAATGTCTTTAAACAATATATGCAAAAACCCAGTATGCACTAAACTCTTACTTGTTTGTGTTAATCATCTGAATTTATTAATTAGCTCATAACCACCTAATAGAGTTCATAGAATTCAAATATGATCTCTTTTACATAATGAACCAAAAATATTTCCAATTTATAAACATTGGGATAGCCAAACTATTTCTGTAGATTAATGTGAGAAATAGTAAAATTTCAAGCAATTTGAAATATTCAGAATACTTCGTTAAGCCAATCAGTAAACAAGTGACTAATGAGTATTGGTTATTGGCAGGCATAATATTGATCATGCTGAGCACTCACCGGAGTAGAAAATAGACAAAACTCCTGTCCTTATAGAACTTTTGGTCCAATTGTTTTGTCTGATAAAGTTTCAGGGTGTGAGGGAAGAAAGAAATATATTGGTTTTATGTTAGAGAGCTGCATCTTAGGACTTTTTACTCTATGTGTGAACTAAAGGTTAGGTTTCGAGGTTACTTACATTTTCTGAGTACACTGTATTGCTTAAATGGGTTTCTGATATGCATGGTACAGGGAGGAAAGAAGTTTAGCTATGAATCAAGACTCCATATTTTTATTTAGCTTTTTAATAAAAGCAATGTGTTTGTTTCTACAAACATACATACAATTAATATTCTGTTCCTTTTCTTTTCCACATTTAGGTGATCATGTCAATGCTTGTTTTCTGTACTCTCACCATTTTAAAAGTTGGCATAAACCATATCAGCTTTTTTGAATTGCCAGCTAATTATAACATTGTAGGGCCTTTAGGCAAGACTGCCCCTAAATACAAATGAAAAACACGTGTTAGATGTCAGGAAGAATTTTAAAGATTAAAGGAAATTTAGTATAACATGAATCAATCAGATGGTAAGTGATTGATACCCTGCCTTATAATTCCTTCTCTTTTGCCCAAATAAAACAAAAAGTTAAATTATGTATTTTCTTCTTATTTTACTTTTTATACTTTAGCAATATTTTTTTCCATTTTAAATACAGGAGACTGAAATTTTATGGCTCTTAATAATTTAAAATACTAGTTCTACTTTCCCAATTCTTTTTATCAAAAGAATTAGAAGCTTCTACAAAACAAAGATAAAAGTAAGTCCTTAACTCTAAAAAATAAGACAATAAGACATTTGAGAATGTCTAGAATAAGACATTCTCAAATACTGATGATTGGCATATATTTTATGTTGTTAAATTAAATCTACTATTATTTTTCTGCCTTCCTAGCCATCAACAATATATACATCAATTAGGGTAATGTACTCTAGCTATAGCCTCCCAAGCAAACAGAGATGTGGTTAGTTTGCTACTTATGGGTGAAAAGACACTAGCCCCTACCTCTAAACTTAACAGTTCCCTGGGCCTTTTAATAAATTCCATGACTTCCGGTCCCTTCAGACATTCCCACTGGTTATCTTACATATACTTCCTCTATTTGGCTTCTCTGGGCTTCTCCAGCTCTGCATCTCAAGAACAAACAAAATGGGGAGAAGGGATGGTCATGGTACTGTGGTTTAATTTTCTGTCTATAGAAGGCATTTTATCTTTCCAGGATTTAGTTTTTCTCATCTATAAATGAAAAGATTACACTAGATGATCTGTAAGATCTCTCCCAGTATTTATAATTTTATTATACCTTTAACTATTCATCATTTTCAAAATGTGAATATGTTTAGCAATAAACTACTTCTATATTTATTAGCTGTAATCAATTAAAATTTGTAAAACCATTAAAAATATATCTGTCCATGAGAAAATTATCTGTCTTTTAAATTTAAGTATTTATAGATATTTTACAATGTAAAATTTTTGGTACTTTTTAAATACCATAGGTTACTTTGTATTCTTAAAAATACTAAATACTTCTCTATAAAACAAAAATCATAGTGACTTTTAAATTTAGCTGAACATTTATTATGACCCTATGTCATTGGTATAATGATAAGATGTAGGAGTAGAGAGATACAAAAATAAATAAGAATTGTGACAAGTGCTTCCTGTGTTACCTCTCGTTTAAATCTCACACGAATCTCACAAGGTAGGTATTAACTTACCCTTCTTACACATGAAAAGCAGCCAAGGCTCAGAAAGATGTAGTTATTTTTCCAGAGCTGCACAACCAATGTTTGGAGAGTTTGTGCTTGGTCCACTGCCTCAACAAAGCTTATAATCTTTTGAGAGACAGAGATATACAGAAATAATTCTGTGATTGTAAGAGGATACAGTACATCAACTGTAAGGTTCTAAATTGGAATCATTGGAATTATGTTCCAGATTTTAAATATTACCATCTACAGTAAGTGGGAATGCATTTAGGGCATTTTTTGTTTCTTTGAGACAGGGTCTTGCTCTGTCACACAGGCTGGAATGCAGTGGCACAATCATAGCTCAATGCAGCCTTGAACTCCTGGGCTCAAGCGATCTTCCTGCTGCAGCCTCCTTATTAGTTGGGACTATAGACATATGCCACCATGCCCAGCTAATTATTTTTTTTAATAGACAGAATCTCCCTATGTTGCTCAGGCTGGTCTCCTACTCCTGGCCTCAAGTGATCCTCTTGCCTTGGCCTCCCAAAGTGTTAGGATTCAGGCATAAGCCATCACGCCCGGCCAATTTAGGGAATTTTATTTGAATCTAAGAATCATTTTTTTTCTTGGAAGCTTTTCTTTTGATTCAATGTACAAAGGGAAGAAGTGACTTCAGTTAATACCTAAAACACTTTATAAAGTTATTAGAGATTACAGAACAAATATGAATAGTTATAAAAGGAATACAGATATAAAATAAACATAAATGTTTAAATTTACAGAGCTTTACAATAATTTTTTTTAATAATTTTGGCTTTTAACTTTTAATTTTTATTTGTGCCTATTTTTACCCATTTTATTCTTTCAATATATTTAAGCAAGAACCACTTCTGATCTTTTGTTACAAAGATATGCTGGAACCTAATTGGTGGGATTTCAAATCCTATTCCAATGATATTTCAATATTAGAAAGTCACAGTGTGTTGTACATTATATTTAATCCGTATTCATTGTTTAAAAATATAATAAACTTTTCATTCTGAAAAAAATTAGTTAAACCAGGTCCTTCTGAGTTAATGAGATGGTATTATAAAGTAGTAATTGTAATTTACCCGAATTTGATAAAAACCATGTTATTTTTCAGCTGAGAGAAGTTAATTTGTAAATAAACTTTCAAAATACCTGGACAAATGATGTAAGTCAAATATAAAAGAAAGTTTGTCATAAAGTTGTTTGTACCAATAAATATACTAAATAGTGAAATATAAAAAATAGTTTTCACAAGAAAATATGTCTGAAAACTACCATGGAAATATTTAGCCATATTTTGTAAAATACTGTTAAAATATATTCATGTCAAGAGGGAGAAGTGAAGTCAAACCCTATGTATTTGTTTTTGATAATAAGTATGACTAAATTTCAGGGATTCAGTTTAAATAAAGCGTGAAATAACATAGTAATGATGTAAAGTAACAGGCAAAACAAAGGTGACCTCTCAGGGTGTCTGGACTTTAAAACAAAATTTGATGAGTGG